TTTCTCGTCTTCGTCAAATCTTATAGGCATATTTAGAAATATGTGTAAATAAGAGTCCTGCCTTTCTCTTCTGCTACGTAATTAAGTTCTTTTGGGGACTCTCCAGCTCCCTACTCCGCTTCTCCCTCCGATGCCGGTAGATTAATTCATTGACAAAACCCATTGATGGTGAAAATATTTCTCTTTTTTCAAACAAATCTTCACCGTTATAATCTTGATCCACATGATTGATGGTCAAAATATTTCTCTTTTTTCACCGATTAATGTCGTAATTTACAACTTATTCCTAGATTTTTTGTTGTGTTATTTTGTAGGTTGTTTCCCATAATAAAAAAAAATAGAGATAGAAAATTACATCGTGATTAGTATGCTTTTATTAAAATTTCAACTTGTGATCATGAAGATTTTTCTAGATTTCAAAACTCATCTACTACATCAAAATCCATAAGGACTCCTGCTTCCACACCGGTCGATCCTCCGTTCAAATTATCGAAAATGCTTTTCAGAAAAGATTTTTCAGTCGTGACTCCACAACCCCTTGAAGCATCCCGTGCAGATTGAGAAAAAAAATCAATCCCTTAAATATATGGTCATGTAGGGGATTCAACAAATCTAGTTTTGTTCAATGCACATTGTGTGTCACGGGAGATAGAACAAATCCCATCTCTTATATTGTTTGGGTGTCACTATGCCACACGTCATACATAACCATATCTTCGTCACTCCTCTCTATTCCTTCTCTCCATGCCCGTTGGAGCAAAGTGCACAGAGTGCGGCCGGGTGTACATGCAGCGGTGCGGAGTGCGGCGATGGAGAGTGTGGCATGAGCATGGGTGCAGGGCGCAGGGCAAAACGATGCAGGGTGCGATCCTAGCAAGCAATGCGGCAGAGCCCGTGCGTGAGCCGGGGCCCCAGTCACGACGGCAGGTGCGACCGGGCCAGGGGTGACGCGGCGTCAGGCACCGGCTTAGGCGATCGGATGGCAGGTGGGCAGGGCACCCAGGGTGGGCGACACAACGCATTGGTCTAGGCGCCGGTGGGAGCGACCGAGTGGAAGGTGGTGACGGCGAGTTCAATAGGGCACAGGATGCCAGCGGCGTCGGCCAGGTGCGTCGAGCGTCAAGGCAAAGCTCAGAGAGAGGCCGTGTAGGCTGGGCATTTCTCCCTCATTGACGTGATCTTGTTTGCATTTTCCGCTGTCGCGGTTGCTTGCCTAATACTGGCCTCATGAAGCGTGCCCGTTGTGAGAGGAATGAAAAGAAACGAAAATGCTTCAGGTCCGACTCTAAATACCAACTCTGGTACCACTCGACGGCGCGGCCGGCGATGTGAGTGAACGAATACGATGGAATACACCATGCTGACAAAAACCAACGTATAAGCTGACATGCTGATAAGGCTAAACTGACATGCTGATCTGTTCTTATTTTCTGCGCCACGTTTGCTTGTTTTGACACGATCAACACCATATCATGTGCATGGGCTTTGCAGGCCTTTAGCAGCAGCTCCCGTACAGAGCAGCGCACATATCGCGTAGAGACGCACGTCATCCTGCACGCGTTGTGACGCACCTTCGCTGGTCGCTGTCGGACGTTTGTTGGAAAAAGGAAATAGAGCATACAGCGTTTGTATTTAGTATTGCTTACGGATCGGGCTCCTTTTTTTTTTTTATTTGTTGGAACTACATATTTTGGAACGAATCTGAGCAAATATTTTCATCTTTTCTTTATTTATTCCGAATTTTAGCTATTTCGAGTTGCAGTTGGCAAGGACTTTTTGGTTTAATCTAGACCATTGAAGTTTCATAAAATCCAACGGTTCATATTTTTGTTTTTTTTCTGATTAATGTGGTAATTTCGTGACCTTGAGAGCGAACGTGATGGCTTCTTTTTCCTTTCAAATACTAAGATAATAGATTGACATTGTACTACGAGTGACTATGCAGAATTATCGAGATTCGATCGATTGCCATCTTCCTGATCTGCGGTTATCGACACTCACTCAGTTTGTACATTCCCTCCAATGATTTGTTCGATTCAAGTTCAGTTATTGAGATGTCCTAGGGCATCGGCACCCATCAACCTTTGATAGCTGGAGAGAGTCATGCACGTTTATACAACTTGAAAAACACGGGTTTTGTTGGTTTCTCTATGGAGGTTCCGGCGAAGGTAGCAACAGTGTCAATGACGGCGCCATCCTTCTTGACAAGATGACGTGGAGACTAGTGTGTCCTGAGTCCTGACAGTAAATGTTGGAATTTTGAGGCCTGTTATAGCCAGCCCATACGGCTGCAATTGTTGAGGCCCAAATTCAATTGGAAAGGCTATGGTGGTGTGGAGAGATGGCTGGGTGAAAACATTAGTACCATCGTGCTCATTTAGGTGAAGTTGTCCTAAGATATAAGGTGGAGTGTTGGTTGCTTTCCAACATGAATAAAGCATGGTAAAATACAGGCTACTGCACAACACACACACACACGCACGGATCGCGTTTTTCTTGTCGTGTTGAGTTCTACCACAACAGTATTATTTTTGCTACTCAATCAAAAGGATATTCACCAGCACCTTGATTGTCACGTTAATTAGGAATAACATGATCGGTGTGTTTAATGCACGCACGATTAATGTGACTAATTCTCACAAGTTAAGGCTCCTATTAATGTTGAGGGATTTCAGGAGACGGTTCCTGGTATCATGACAGTTCAACGCGATTTTACTGCGTGCCCTCCTCTTGTGTATAAAAGGATATGTCCCAGAGACGAGAGGACGCGCGCGCGCGCGCACACAGAGAGAAAGCAATCGCCCTTCTCATATTTTGCGCCGCCACCTTCGAGCCTTGTCGTCCCTCATCCACCGTGTAGCGGATTGAGGAGAGCGGTGTCTCCGAACCAACGCCAGTGATCTGAAGACCTGCACGGGTGCCGGCGATCAGGTTTCTGGAAAGTGTATCATCACGACCGCTCGCTGCCCTTCCCTCTTCTATTTCCTTTTCGACGACTACATTGATCTTCTTCCTAGCGGGATTCAAAAAAAAGTCTGCTACTGTTCCCCATGTGACAATGAACTTTTTTGAGATGTGTCGTCAGTTCGTTTTTGTCTATCTGTTTTTTTTTTGTTAATTAGCATGTTGCTAGTCTGGTTTTTGACCGAGGTCTAGACCGTCTCTATTATTTCGTATTTCGATCAAGTTTATCTTATGCATAGTTAATTTTGTAACAGTAACGGCGAGGCGGAGATGACATTGCCGCCATGGAAAAAAGTTCCCCAGCTCCTTTCCTATTGTTTTGTCATGTGTCGATCCGGCCACGGTGAAGGGGTAGTGGAGATGGCATCTTTCTCTCGTTCTACCGATGGAGATGTGGTCGATTCTTGTTCATAGAACTGGATTTGTCTTGACAATTTGATTTAGGCCATGGATCTTGCGGCTCCAACAATGTTTGGTGTCTCTCGTCGGCAGTTGGAGAGGACATTGTTTCGATTTGATTCCTCTTCGGCAATCGAAGAACTAATGTTGAAGATGAGTAAAAAACTTTGTTTTCTTTGTGTTATATTCGCCTATCAAAGTCTTAATGTAAAAGGTTATCAAAGTCTTAATGTAAAAGGTCTGTACTTCATCAAATTTTAATACAATCTCCTTTCATTCGCAAAAAAAAAGAAAAAACTATGTTATCTATAGGTTCTTATGCGTGGTAGCAAAGTAATGGCCAACCTACTTGTGCCATAAGGCTAACATATAGTTCTCCTTCCAAGATCAATTTGTGTTGTTTATTTGCACGAGATACTAACAGTTCTAAAATTTCCGGTTTGAGTATTGCAATGTGCCACATCCAACCCATTTAAGTAATGAGCTAAGAGGCATCTCATTGAACATCCAAAACACAAATACTAATGGAACATGCATCTCCTTGCGGCTGGATAAATAAATCAGCCCCGCCGTGCACGTTTCAACTGAAATGGAAGCATATCTTCTGAATGCGGTCCATCCATTGTTTCTAACATATGTTTACAATTAATAACTAGTCTGCAAAAATATATAGCTAGATTGAAAATACAAATTGTATTTGATATATAACACTAGGAATCATAAGAAGTATTAGTGGGTGTCAGAGAAATAGAAATTTCCACTCCTAATAACTGCTAAAACTTGTGAAAGGATATAAAAGTGGTTCAAATAATATATTTTTCGTTTTCTTACACGGGATTAATTACATAGCAGTCGATATTCATATAAAATTTCCAACAAATTTTGACTTAACAGGTGACACATGCTTCATTTTATATAAGGGCTTGCAGATAATTATTCTTAACGTCAACAAGCGAAGGATTAAGAACAGGATTGCCGCCCTCCATAAACAATCACACGTGGCGCACGCAACAGATCGATTGAGTAACGATTAACGAAGGCCGTTCTCTTCTGAACAGTAGTATGCTCGGATGCAATATCAATCATACTCGCCATCGTTTTTTTTTTTAAATTGTTGGTGATGATGCTAGCTAATCAACGTCATCATTTTTTTAAACAAAAGTCAATCATCCTCGTACGCCTTAATTTGGCACAGCCAGCACGCCGCCTCGCTCGAATCCACACAGGCACGGCCAGCCGCCGTTCGTACTTGTCCGCGGCGGCCGCCCCAACCTCTAGATAGCCTCTGGTGTTGCATGTTGCATACATGGCTGCGCGATGACCCTTTATTTTTTGTTTCGCGGGGGGGGGGGGGGGGGGGGGGGGTGAGGGAAGCAAAAAAAATGTTTTATGCTGTTAAATAGGAGTATGATGGAATTTTGCATGCGTAAACATGGGTAATATAAGAAAGGTGACTCATAGCTAACTAAGCATGTGAAAAATGTGCCACTCCACACATAGGAGCAGGACTACTGTGAACCCAGAAGGAAACTTAGATGTTTAGATTGTGCCATATTTGATCCGTAACTGAGAGGTAAAACTGAAAATCACGGCTAAATTGAGGGACCTGTATGGTTAATTATTCGGGAATATATAAAGGGCCTATAGCCTAGTGGTTACAAGAGTTTTAGTAGCATCTGAAGTTCTGGGTTCGACTCCTGGTGGGAACGAATTTTCTAGGATTTAACGGTGCGACATGGCCGTCGCGAGACGCCAGTGGTGACTTCGTCAATCTGGAGGATTTGCCGGCTCAGTCTTTGAAGATGCTCATAAGGATATGGTTTGTGTATATACGGTCATGGGATGAGTGTACGTGTGTTATGAAGGTTTGAGTTGTACTCTGTAATAAAAAAAATCAATAGATACTTTTTTTTTAAAAAAATAAAGCTTTTCGGATGTATATATAGAACGGCCAGCGAGTAGAGCTAAGCTTCTCTGCAGAGACAAAGTTGGTGCAAAGGAAAACGCCTCAGCGTACATAAAAGACATGGCCATGCATCCAGACAAGAGTATTCCAGCGACCAAGAAAATTGGCCCGTCTGGGATCGCCGACGACATGTCTCCATTCCTGCGCAGGTACATGGACGGCCGCATCGAGCGACTCGTGCTGAGCCCCTTGGTGCCGGCGTCGGAGGCGCCATCAGGGGAACACGGCGTCGCAACGAGAGACGTCGTCATCGACGCTAGCAACGGCGTCTCCGCGCGCCTCTTCCTCAGTGTTGCCGCGGCGGCGACGAGCAGCAAGAGGCTCCCGCTCGTCGTCTACTTCCACGGCGGCGCCTTTTGCACCGGGAGCGCCTTCTCCGAGCTGTACCACCGCTACGCCGCCTCCCTCGCCGCGCGCGCGGCGGCGGTCGTCGTCTCCGTCGAGTACCGCCTGGCGCCGGAGCACCCCGTCCCGGCGGCGTACGACGACGCGTGGGAGGCTCTCCAGTGGGCGGCGTCCCTCTCCGACCCCTGGCTTTCCTTCCATGCCGACCCCGCGCGCTTGTTCCTCGCCGGCGAGAGCGCCGGCGCTAACATCGTCCACAACGTGGCGGCGCGGGCGGCTGGTGGCCCCGACGCCGGCGGCGGTATCGACATCGAGGGCCTGATCATGCTGCACCCGTTTTTCTGGGGGCCCGAACGGCTGCCGTCGGAGGCAGATTGGCACGGTGGATCTGTGTTGTCGCCGGAGAGGGCGGACACCTTCTGGCCTTTCCTGACGGCGGGCGCCGCCGGCAACGACGACCCCCGTCTCAACCCACCGGTCGAGGCGGTGGCGTCACTGCCAATCCGACGTGCTCTCGTGGCCGTGGCCGCCAAGGACTTGTTCCGGGAGCGCGCGTGCCGGTACGCCGCATGTCTGCGCGAGGTGACGCTCGTGGAGTCGGAGGGAGAGGACCACGCGTTCCACCTCTACCGGCCGGCGCGCGCCAGCGCCGTCGCGCTCATGGACGCCGTCGTCGACTTCATCAATGGCTGGGCGCCCTCTTCGATCACTGGCGCCGAAACGGAGCGGTCACCGCCGGCGCGTGAGGGCGCGGCGGCCAAGACATGCATTATGGCCGTGGTGGCCAATGATGGCCCAGCTGGTGAAGCCCACGGCCGAGCTAGGTTGGACCGGGCCATTTCTGTTAAGAAGGTACGAAAGAGCCCAGTCCCACCGAGCAGGCTGTAGCCATGTCTCCAAATTCGAACCAAATAATTGTGTGTTATGTGTGCAAATTGAGATGTCACTTGTTAAATGATGCTTATGTGTTGGTAAATAAATTGGAACATTTCCATGAAAGGAATTGTTCCATGTTTATATTGTAAGAATGTCTCTTACTCGTAAGAGACTAATGGCACCTCTTGAAGTCTTGATTGATCCTTATGACTTGTAAATAAAATGGAAAAATCCCATTCAATGAATTCTTCCTCGTTTTTTTTTTGGGTACAATTTCCATATGAAGGATGCCAATGTAGAGAATACAATCGCGCTGCTGCTCCATTAAGAGTGGAAAATGTCACGCTTCCAAAAGTCACTCTAGATGAATTTGAAGATTTGAATAAACTATCAAACAAGGATGCTGATAACAGAACATGTACGTAGCCTGCTCTTTTCTTCCAAACTTGATATTGCGCTGCCAGTGACGATACAAAACATTATCAAGATGCGGTTGCCATCTCACTGATACCCAATTATTGAGACTCAATCTCTACGGTGCCTCCAAATGATTAGTTCGATGAAAGTTTCTGGTGCATAAGCATCAATCAACATCAAGAAGCATAAGCATGTTGCTAGCTTAAAAAACATGGGCACCGATCTTTCTACTTCGTATTTTTCTTGATGTTGTATTCACCTGCCCAAAAATGACACAGATTTGAATTGACATATTGGCCAAAATAGAGATACAGTAGATTAGAATTGTTTCTTCAGAAGCAAAAACTTATTAACACTCCCATTGCATTGTGACAATAAAGTGTAACACTAACTACACTAGTTGAACTCGATTTGGAGTTCAGTTGTGAGGCAGTGATTACAAAGTAGCCGAGTATAATGATGCCGATCGAAACACAAATGTGTGGAAAGCATCTATTGCTCTAGTAACCGAAGTCACTTTGGATTTTCGCTCTCGTGTTAAGCAGTGCAATTTTTGTGCTACCAAAAGTCACTCGAGCCTTAAGTAATACGTATGCATATGCATATCGACAAGGATCTTACTACCTACAATAGTATAGACTACATCAGAAGGTTAATTAAAAATTACAATATTAGGGACAACATGTTCCTATCTGTACAAATGTCATCGAAATAAATTTTAGTATAGATCACAATTAGCTGATACTAAATTTATAAGCATAGAACACATTATGTGCTATTTTCATATCCAAGGCAACCAAAAAGGAATACTATTTGGTGACAAAATGCAGTGATCAACAACACTAACCGTGCTGCACAAATATGAAATAATATTATCTAGGGTATTAGATGTCTCCCATTAACTGAAACAATGTAACCTTCAGCAACCAATAAGAAATGTGTGGTGGACATTTTTCTACGTCGTGCTTTTCAATCTTACATCCACTTCAAACTTATAGTTCCTGCCAATGCAATTATTTTCATTTTCTACAAATAAATTCTTCATGCACTCCTACTTTAGATATGTGCTACTGATATCCTCCAATTCATTCACAATTTTAATTCGACCTCTGATGTCTTTCACCATCTCTGCATACAATGAATTAGCAAGGCCATACTTGCATATTTGAAGCAGCTCAGCTAATTATCTCAATTATCTCTGAACAGTAAATCGTATGCAGGGAGATCTGAATTATTCAAATGAAATATCTTAATAAAGAGATTTGTGTTATGAAAATCTAAGCAAGCATCGTTTTGCAAACAAAAAATATCTTGCAGACTATATATAGGCTCCAGTCATCAGTCATCACGAGCTTGCTTGCAAAAGGAGATGGCATTTGGGGGATTAATTAATCACGATTAATTACTGAACTGCATTGACATGCCAAAATTTCGTTAACATAAAGAAAATACAAAGAAACGAAAACAGGAGTTACTCAGAAAGCACTGCAATAAGAGAGAGTCTTGAGGCTATTTTCTATGATGTTTCAATTCGTGTTGTAAAATGCACTCGCCGCAGCAACATCACATACATGTTTCGTATATACGGGCTGTTATTAGCATATTCTGCCTCTTTTGAAGTGGATCAGTTATGTCCTTGCGACGACATTAATTGTTGCGAGATACCAGCAAGAAGCGACTTTTAGCTTGGCTCTTTGGTAGTGAATGTGGATCGGTTGCAAGCTTTGCAAAATCGCCTGAACAGCTCAATCCGCCTGCCAGCGGTTTTCCGGTTTTCGTGAAACCACGGAAATCGCTCGAAAACCGAGCAAAATTAAACAGGCCATCCATATTTCACTTCATGCCACGAGAGTATGGTTACAAAAAGCTCGCATTTTTTTTTAGATAATGGGAAAAGAGCATCCCGGCCTTGGCCTCACTAGGAGGTTACGCCCGAAAAGCTCGCATAATTAAGCAGGCTAGTAGTCCTTGTTAATCTTGTGGGTGCTTAGCTGGATTTTGGAGCAGCGTCTATCAACCACCATTTTTCAATGTGGCTATGCTTTGTTGATCACATGCGCCTCAGCGAAATTTTATATGGCCATATGGGCGAACGGAACGTGGTCATACAGTGGAGAGCCCGGAGCTGACTCTGAACCGACACTGCGGACTATAACCGTAAAATGACACAAAACAAACAGAGCCTGAGTTTGTTTGATTCAGACAGTGGGTGAATGAAGATTCAGACAGCTCATTTCGGCAAGTAGCTTAGCATCTCTGCAGACCCAGTTGGTGCAAAGGAAAACACCACAGCAGATTCATACACAAAGGCTCATGGCCATGTATGCATCCAAGAGTTTTCCGGCGACCAAGAAAGTTGACGGCACCGAGATCGCCGATGACATGTCTCCGTTCCTGCGCAGGTACAAGGACGGCCGCGTCGAGCGGCTCGTTCCGACCGCCTTCGTGCCGGCGTCCGAGGCATCCAGCGTCGCAACGAAAGATGTCGTCATCGACCCCAGCAATGGCGTCTCCGCACGCCTCTTCCTCAGTGCCGGCGCAGCAGTCGCGAAGAAGAGGCTCCCGCTCGTCGTCTACTTCCACGGGGCGCCTTATGCACCGGGAGCGCCTTCTCCGAGCTGTACCACCGCTACGCCGCCTCCCTCGCCGCGCGCGCGGCGGCGGTCGTCGTCTCCGTCGAGTACCGCCTGGCGCCGGAGCACCCCGTACCGGCGGCGTACGACGACGCGTGGGAGGCGATCCGGTGGGCGGCGTCGCTCTCCGACCCTTGGCTCGCCCGCCATGCCGATTTCACGCGGATGTTCGTCGCCGGCGAGAGCTTCGGCGCGAACATCGTGCACAACGTGTGGCGGCGCGGGCGGCTAGTGGCCTCGACGCCGGCGGCGGCTTCGACATCGACATTGCCGGCCTTATCATGCTGCACCCATTTTTCTGGGGCCCGGAACGGCTGCCGTCGGAGGCGGATTGGCACGGCGGATCTGTGTTCTCGCCGGAGAGGGCGGACCTCCTCTGGCCTTTCCTGACGGCCGGCGCCGCCGGCAACGACGACCCCCGCATCAACCCGCCGCGCGAGGTGGTCGCGTCGCTGCCGTCCCGCCGCGCGCT